ACTAAATAAATAAATTCCTGAAAAAACGAAAAACACCTTTTTCCCCCGACTACCCTTTAAGCCTAATGAATATTCACTTTAAAGCTAATGAATATTCATTACATGAGGGAACGGAGAGAATAAAGATCTGTAGAGATGCACGGTAATGGTATCATCGTTACTTTGCCCTAATGCTACGTGGCAGGCACAGAAGTGTTCAGTGTGATACAGACTGAACTTCTCATGCAGTGTGGAGTTCCACAGATTGTGACACAGGTGCCAAACTCGAGCACACAATTTCTTTCACAGTCTGAAAATGAATGGACGGGTTAGGCTTCTGAGTGTCTGAAGCATTCCAGGATTACCTAGTTAATGTAAACTTCATATTTTTTCTTTCTACCAACTGAATTTGCTAGAAATTTTTAGAAAGCCACTGTAAGATATCCTTGACTGAAATGTTACTTATCATCAGTATAGGCATTGATGAATAGAATGGGTGGTGAGACCACAGGGAATTGAGTGCCATGGGTTTTGTTGGTTGACTCAGCTCTGTCAATTCTGTACTTCTAGATCAACTGAGAGTTTATGAATTGCTATAATGGAAAAATACTAATCTCTTAAATATAACCTGGCACTTAATAACTCAGTCAAATGGCTTTAGAATACTTGACCTGATGTGGTAATAGAAAGAGGGAAATGATATAAATTCTCTTATTCCTCTCTTTTGGAAGAACTCCAAACTTCTATCTCCCTCTGCTATTACTCTTTCTTTTCTATATGCTGACTTTTAAATGGCTATGGTACATTAAAAAAAAAAAAAAAAAAAAAAAGAGAAGGATTTGGTACTACATGGAGCTTCACTCTTTCTCTTATTGCAATAACTTGTCCACCAAGTGGTCTTGTCTGCACGTGCTACATCTGCTTAGGATGTGACCATTTATTGGTAGCAGTTAGCTGTAGTCTGTCATATTTTTGTCCAGACTGGTCCTTTTGTACAACAAATTCCAAGTGGCAGTGGTACCCTGTCCTCTTCCAAAGGCCTGCCTGCCTGGTAACTGTCCTGGGCTGGGGGAACCAGATGCTCACAAACATTCAAAACAACTGCCCAAAGAGGGACCAAATATACACTTGCTGCTGTGCACTTTAATTAATCTCATCTGAACTCTTCTGGCAAAGAGAGCAATCAGCAAGGATGTGTTACTTAACACAGCAGAAACAACATAATATGTACTAACAAAATGTCATTATGCCTTTATGGTCACAGAAGACAGCAACCTCATGAAATAGCCCTAGGTCTTTCTTCAAATTATAAATACAAGGAATTTTCATCCAGAAAGTTATAGATCTAAGTAAAAACAGCTGGGTAATCAAGCACATGAGCAGTGTGGGTCTAAAATAAAATATGAGGGTATGGACAAAAAAAAAAAAAAAGAGGGATTTTGTTTCTTTAAGACACCAGGCTTAAGTTTACTCTTACTTTATGGTTAAGTTTATTGAAATTATTTCTAAGTATAGTATTATCAATTCACACTACTTATAACTACTGTACACTCATTATCTGATATACATCAAACATAAAGAGGCTATTTCCATTTGCTTAAACAATACAGTAAAACAGCTCAGTAAGCAGAGAATATAAAATCAGAATGTAAAATACGGTAAGTGTGAAAAAAACATTAGGCTTAGTAATCTTTCACTAGAAAAATAGATTTTGCTGACAAGTTTCAGAGTAAAATTTTAACAATACGTTGCACAAGAGAAAAAATTAACTACAGTGAACAAATTTCTTCCTTTAAGGCACTTTTACATAACTTTTAATATCAATTTGAAAATAATTCAGCAAGTCAGTTGACAGAAATATTACACTAGTAATAAAAAAGAACAGAAATCTTTCTTTGGTTAAATGTAAGGTTGAATACAAAAATAAATCAGATGAAGTTTCTGTATTGAAGAAAATACTTTTGGCTATGAAAGAACAAACAACTACAAAAGTAAACTCAGTCACCAACAGTAAATTTTGACAAATCAAGACTTTCAGTAACAAACTCTAAAGTTCAGAACTTGGGTTATTAGTTCATAAAGAATTATAAATGAATGTTCTGGTATAATGAAGTAACAAGACTAACTGCTTTAAACTACTGGAGAAACACTTGCTAAGCATACAACTTATAATGCTCTTACAAAGACATCTCATTTGGCTTTGTGTTTTCACACGTCCAAGTGCTCAGCAATGGCAGATTGCTTTCACTTACTGCACAGAACTTCCTACACAAATACTGAGTGGCACAGCTGAAAAAAGTTTTCTCTTACAGATTTGCACTTGGTCTTTCTTATATGTGCATAATTGCAAGTCATCTCAGCTACTGCAGTCTGTCCCTCAGAAGCCCTATTTAGCGCTCCTATGCGGCTCCTTTCTGTGTCCCTACACCATTCTCAACCGCTTTCTTCCTCACTATTTTCACTTTCCTATTTTTGGGGAGCTTCGTAATGTGGCTAACTGTGGTCAGACATGTGCTGGGTAGCTCAACACTTAAGAGGCCACTCAAACTCCCCTCCTGAAGACACCCATCAGTTTAATCTTCCTTGCTCAACAGTCAGCACTGAAAAGTTCTGAGGCAGAATTTAAAGGCAGGATATAACCCTCACTTGCTTTGGCTGAAAAAAGAGGCATATGGATGGTGATTTTAGTAGCAACATCAATGATGATGGTGTTTCTCCTCTGTCTGCCAGGACTGCATGTGTCAAATGACCTACAGCTGATCAGTTATGCTGACCTACTGCACAGTAATTCTTAGGTCTCCATACTAAAGAAATATTCATACACTTCTATCTGAACCCATAGTTTGAAAACTGCTGTAATATTTGTCCATCTTCACTAGGAATTTGGTCTTGCAGCTGCTTGGGTCTACTTTGGATCTAAGGACAAGAAGAACTTGCAGTGAAGCAGTTTGAACCACTAGGAAACAGACCTTCAGGATTCTGTTGCAGACTTCGACCTTATCCTCTTAAGAAATGGGTAAGGCTTTTGTTGTTATGAAAAGCTGTAAGATATCCCCTCTTGCAAAAAAAGATGGATTTGATCTTGGAAGACAAGATCTGCCAAACAAATGTAATAGTTACTCAGTCTATCCATGTAAGTCAATTATTAATGTTTGTTATTAAAAGTAATTCAGTGGATCCTTATACTTAGCTCTAACTGCTTTTGAAGGAAATATCTTCAAAATTGTTTTGGCCCTGATTTGGTATCATTTGGCTTGAAGGAAGTAAAAAAAGAAAATCACTGCCTAGAGCTTTGGGGCTTTTTAAGCTGCCAAATTTTTGCTCCATTGAAGGCCATGTCTGCAAAATTCAACAGATCATAAAAAGAATGTTTTTAACATATACCATACACATTTCTCTTAAGATAAATTTCAAGACTTCCAGAGCTCCCTGAGATTTCTGGACCAAAACCAGTAGGGCTTATGCCTTTGAATTTCACCATTAATTACGCCAATTATTTAATATTTCTCAACTAGTATTATTTGTTATTTTCCTCTGTAAGACAGCCCAAGAAAGTTTAAACCTAGGCAAACATACATGGAACAAAACCGCTCACCAAGATGAAAAAGAAATTACCTGCAAACCTAAAAATAAACACCAAACCCCTTGCAGACATGGCAAGCAGAACATGCTAGAGGCAGGTCAAGAGAGAACTACTGGTTCAGTAGCCAATTTGACCAATCTAGTATCAGTCCTGACAGATCTATGACATGCTGGTTCTAAAATCCATGCTTAACCCCGGGTCTCCTGCCTTCAGTGCAGCCTTACTTGCTAATACCAAAAACCCATCTATTCATGTGACTTCCCTATGTTAAGCAGGACTTCATACCAGAATTTCAAGATCAGGTAGGAATGTTAAGTGAGGGCAGAAAGATGTTGTTAGTATTTTTGATTGAGAGATGGGCTTTTTTCTAGACAGCCTCATTTGAGCCTCATTTTCAATTGCAAAATATGTTAGTGCTGTTTTATTCAGAATCTAATTCTTGGATCTGTAAGATTAATTTTTCTATTGCTGAACTTCCTATAAGAAACAACTTTCTACAAACCTAAAATGTGTCAAACAATATATAGAAGTAAACCTTTTAAAGCGGGAAACATTTACTTGTTGCAACAAAAATGCTGTTATATCAATGACAAATTCACATAAAAACTGTAAATGCATTCTTGTTTTTATAGTGCATAGAAACTCCATGGCAAAATACAATAAACACAGTATCTAAGCAAGGGAAATCTTTACCGGTGTTCATTTCTTACAATCACCTAATGCTTATATACTTCTCACTGTTGTTTATGTCAACTTTAACTTGTAGATCTTAAAGCTGGAAAATGAAATATGAAAAGGAAAATCACATAGATCAGACTGGATTTTGTCTCCATCTGTAACAAAACAGTCAGTGCTAGGCTTTTTTTCAAACGTGTGAAACAAAAAAAAAGGTAATTAAATCTATTTTATCTCTTCATTGTGTTCCTTTATGTTCAAAGAAAAATGACCAGTACAAAGAAATGCTATTTAGATGGTTTTTTCCTTTTACTTTCTTAGAGAGTCTGCAAATGCTGCCTTTTTTTCCTTATGTTTTCTTTGGGAAAAGAAATTTTTCTGAAGGCTTTACTTTTCCCCCCTCAAAATTCAAGTTTTACTTATTTTTCTTCTGGATTAACAAGCAAAAGCAAGTAAAGCAGCAAACTGTTTTCCTATTAGCTGAATACTTTTCAATTGCTGGATGCATAATGTATTATGGCAACTCACTCTTCTAAAGCAATATCATAAGTCATTAACAGCAGTGGTAAAATTTTTGTGTAAGAGAACTAGTGGTATTCATGTTGCTTTATTCTACTATCCTGAAAATTTTAGCGGCTCAAGACCCTTCCTGTGCTTTGCAAGGAGTTTAAAGAACAATACAGTTTGCTGAAAAAAGCAGAAGTACCAACTAGACAGGATGTATAACCAGAACCATATAAGTATATTCATGAAAATTCAGTGTTCTGTATAAATTATAATCACAAAAATGGTTTTGCAGGCCCAGACAGTGCAAGCATAAGGAATTATTGCAGTTATAGTCTGAAAAGGTACTGTACCCCGTTACTTCTTTCATCTACTCAAATATCTGATCTGTACAGTATTTAAGTGTGTAGCCTATTATGAAGTACAGTATAGCAGCACTCAGAATGAGGCTAAGAATGAAGACATTTTACTGTTCAGAGCAAATTACAACTGTTAATGTTTCATTTCAACCGCGATAAAGATTTCCCTATCACCTTTTCTTTGGTAAAAATGGCTGTGTCACGTTTGCTTCATCAGCTAGTAAAAGGCATTTTCTCTTGTGGAAACACGTTTTTAGTCTTACATGTCCAGCTTTATAAAACACACTCTTATATTAACCATTCATTCAGTGAATGCAAGGCTAGTTCCAGTTTAAGACATAAAATCAAACAGATCAGTCGTAAACTAACAGAAAATCTAACCACAACACCTTCTAGTAGTAAAAAGACAAACGTTACAGACAGCAAAAGTCTAAATGCAATACAGCAGATTATCATCTCTAAAAAATGAGCAGTTTCACAGCATCTTTTTTCTCATAAGCAGAGGACTTTACTTAGAAACACAGTGAATGTTTAAAATGCATAGCTGCAAACATCTTCTGTAGCTTTGTAACAATTTCCACTTCTGTTGGTTTAAGTCTCCTGTAATAAAAAAGAATAAACACATCGCATTATAATAGGAATTCTACTATTTTTCTGCTTAGTATTTTCCCATATTTATTTGAAAATAAACTTCATTCTGCTCCTCTCCCCACCCCACCAGTGAGGAGGCTAGCGTGGGTAAAAGGAGTTGGGACACAGCCAGAGTAGCTGACTCCAGCTGACCACAGGGATATTCCATCTCATATGGCATCATTTTCAGCATATAAAGCTGGGGGAGGAAGGAGAAGGAGGGGGGCACATTCAGAGTGATGGTATTTGTCCTCCCAATTAACTCAAGTAGCTATTATGCATGGTGGAGCATGATGGAGCCCTGCTTACCCAGAGATAGCTGAACACCTGCCTGCCCTTGGGAAATAGTGAATGAATCCTTTGTTCTGCTTGTGTGTGCAGCTCCTGCTTTCCCTATTAAGCTGTCTATATTACAGCCCACGCAGTCACTCACGTTTACTCATCTGATTCTCTCCCCCATCCCATCAGAGAGCAAAAGTGGCTGCATGAGGCAGAGTTGCCAGCTGGGGCTAAACCTGAACACTTAGGGAACTTAAGTCAGAGGAATCAAAAGTGAAATACCATGCAGGAAACCTAGGAGACAATATAATCTTGGAACGTAATTTTCTGGTTTCCTGATTCATTACTCTTTTTACATGAGCTTTACCTGACATTTCTCTTTCTGTTCTTTAAAACAAAGGGTATGGGAACAACCTTTATTCAGGTAGATGGCTTGCAATGAGGATAAACAGTATCAGCACTGACTGTGATTTTGTGAATGCAAAGTCATTCACAACTGTCATCTACAGATGAGAGTTTGAGGTGCCAGATGCAGAGGGGAAATAGAGTGTGTAGGATTGGTCCTCAACTGACAGACCATCCTCTGACAAGCATTTCCAGCTGGCATAAGTAAAAGCAGCCTATAATCGGACTGTAAACCGGGCAGAGAATCAGGAAGTTCATTACATAGCTTTCACAGGGCTACATACCCTCTGCTTCCTTATTCTACCACTAATCCTTTTGAGTCACCATCTATTAAGCTCTGTCTTTTTTCCTAGACTGCTCTAACCCTTGTTTCATCTCTCCAGTACTGTCACATTCCCTGCTTGCTATCACATTTGGATCCTTCCTCCATAAACTCACTCAACATCCAAAATACAGTCTGAAAGAGCAGGATTTTGAATACAGTAGCAATTCTTATGCATCTCAGCACCTATCCTGGGCATTCACAAGACTGTTTCACCCTCAGGAGCCAAGCAGTTAAGCTGGTTAACCTAGGTCCCATTTTAAAAACTGCAGGGGTTAACAGAACTATTAAATCACAATGACAACAGAATAGAGTTAAAAGGATTTGGACTTGCTTTCTTGCTTGACTGTATGTTGTTTCACCCAAACAATGGTTCAACTCCTATATTGCTACCACATAAAAAACAGATTGGGATGGCACAGTGGACTTCTTTGTCCTAGTATTAGGCTGCTCAACAGAAAAGTAAACTCTGGTCTCTTACCTTTTCAGGAACTGGATTAAATTCTTCTGTGGCTAGCACTACTGCCTTCACCTGATTTACTAGAAGAAAAAGAGGTTGAATTCCAAAACTCAACTTTAAGTGTAAGATACCACAATTATTCCAGTCCCACAACCCAAACAGAATACATCTCAAATGTGTTAGATTTTCTCTTTTGGCATATGAAGAAAAAAAGATTAGAAGAAATTAAGCAACCAAAATAGTGACTCTTGAAGTCCTTCAAAGTAAAGACTCAACTCAGTCGCTCCCAAAAATCCCACAGAACTCTGGGCAAAAGTTAGAACAGTAATAGCACTCCCAAATGATTCCTGCAATATCACTTCATTCAATATAAAAAATTTGTACTCACAATGAATACTCAAACAATATACAAGCAGTAAATATATAGCTCAATATTCTCAGAACATGGAATGAAACCAACATATGATTACTCCTTCCAGAGTAATTTCACCTAGTATATGGTGTGGATCACAATCTAAGACTTGAGTTAAAAATTCTCTTGCTAAAAAAATTTTGTGAATCACTAGGCTCCCACCTAAATATATAGTTGGATGTAACATTAAAATTATAGCCTCATCAACCAAGTTCAGGTGTATTAGTCATCCCACACATAACAGAAATGTTCCTCTGGAGCCATTCTCCCTGGTACACAAATCTATATTCTAAACAGCCAATAGTTGAAGTAACATTCAGTTCTTGAAATCAGAGAAGAACAGAGTTAAATAAATATTCCTCATATGTTTTTATCTAAGATAGAATTCCACAAAAAAGATTAAGCAGAACCGCATCCCACAAGCATAAAACCATTATTTTAGTGCACTAGTCTATATTACAATCCTAGTCTAATACAGTTTCAGAGGGTTTACAAGAAGAAGGGCTATGCATAAGGACAATCATTCAATTTTCAAACGAAACATATCCCCAAACACTGAGCCAAGTAATAGCATACTGTATTCCCAAGACATACTGCCACTTTGTACTATAACTGAGTTAGAGCTTTAGATATGTTCAGATAAGGGCAAAAGCACCAAAACATATTTTCAGCTTGTGCCAGCAAAAGGAAACAGGGAAACAAAGGTTGCTGCAGAAAAAAATTCAAGGAGGGAGGGAAAGACAGCTGCTCAGAAGAAAAAAAAGGAGATAAACACAGGAGAGAAGCAACTGCAGAGCGAAAATCCAGAACAGACTGAACAGACCTAAAAAGAGGAACTGTTAGGAGACTTTCCTCTTGTTTTATGGTGTAACCAGGCCAGATGAGGCAACTGGGCTTCAGAAGATGGGCAGAAAGTACAGCATGTTTTAGCAAGCAAGCCTATAGGCATGCATCATCCTAAGGATGGGGGAGTCAGCATGGGAGCACAGACCCTCAAGCAGCAGAACAGCAGCCCAAGTGCCTACACCTGCTCCTTTGTTTCCAGCAGTGCAGATGGTCCTGTGCCCAGAGAGCCCAAGTTATCAGTCCCCCTGAGCGGCTGGACTTCACCACCAAAACAGCCAACAAGGGCAGCTCCCAGCACCCCAGCAACTACAAGCTTTCCTAGGGGAGTCAGGGCTTAGACCAAGTGAAAGTGAGAGAAACGTATGTTAGTATGGACAAATACACATTTTTAAAAAATTCTAAGCCTCTTCTGGAAAGTTACCACCCAAAAGTTATTTCCTTGCAAGTTACAGTCATAACGAGGACACATGGTGCTGTCAATAAAAAAAAAAGAAAAAGAGAAATAGCTTAATCTCAAAATCAAGTGCTAGGTATAAAATAGAGCTCTGCTCACTTTGGAACTAAGAAGTCTTGAGGAAAATAATAAACTGTACCTCCACATTCATCATCATGCCTTACCAACTAGTCAACAACAAGGTAAAACTCTCTATGTCAATAATACACAGAAGAAAAAATATTTAACTCCAGTATAGAAATTTTTTACTTACAGTTTCTCAGTTTGGTCACATCCCTTTCCACCTTCAGCAGAAGAGATAAAAAAAGGATTAAAATCTCGATTTAATAAACAATAGAAAAATTCTGATTTTGTGTATCGTTTACTCATTTTTTAATCAAAACAAAACCTTGTTTTTTCATTTTCCTACTTTTCTTAGATTTGTAATTCAAATTATCTTGTTACTCTAGTCAATGAAATTACCTCTAAATTTTTCAAAAAGCTTATTTTGATAAAGTTTGATTAATCTGATTTTAATACAAAACATGTTATATACATAGGTTTATACATTTCTGTATTATAAAATACTGATATATGCATGTATGCATTAAAACACATGTATACAAAGACTTTACATATATACAATTTCTCTTTCATCTTGCACATCTAGTTCTGTTCACCTCTAGTTTGCCTTAGGTTCAGCAACCAGTTTTACTGTATTCTGGTTTAATACCTTTTTCATTCTTACTCCATTTCTCTAAACAGATTTCTCCCTTCAAAGCTCTTATGAGTTGCTTCTATTCCTAAGCGTTCCCCAAAGAAGTACAGCCTCTAAATTCCCTTGTATTCCAAGGAAAAAAAATCAGCACTAAATCAAACCCTTTATGGGAAAATGTTGCTTACTGAATGCAGTTTGCATTTGATTCAGGACTCATGGAAGAGATTTAAATATCTAAAATAATGTGGTGTTCTAGAAGAAAGTATTTTATCAGAAAGAAATGATGTAAAATTCACATTAAACTCCATATATGAAGTGCTGTGGGTCATACCTCTGATTGCACTTTCAATGAAAAGCTAGAAATCGTTAAAAAACCCCAAACAACTTACCTGTACATTTTCCTTTCCTTTTCGAATACACCTCATAAAGGATAATGGTAGTTACCAAAATAATAACTTCAGCCACAATTGCTATGAAGGGTTTGAGAGGTGCCATGATGGACAGAACTTTAAGTTCCATCTTCCTTTCACTTTCCCCTAATTGGAAAACAGCTTCACACCAATATACACCAGCATCTTCCTTGGTGAGCTTGAGTATCCTCAGACGGGTTACATTGGCAGACAGTCTAGAAATTAGGTACTTGTCTGTCCACAAAGATTCATTAATGATAACCTGAAAATAAAAAGACATTACAAGTCTTATTAATGTAACAAGTGCTTAATCAAATTGTATCATTGACAAATAGTTCTATAAAGAGATGTAAAATGGGTGAGGAACAAGTGGCATTTGTGACACATGATTACTCCACCTCCAAGGGAAGGATTTATCTTAGGTGGCCACCCTGGTTCCCTTTAGATTCAAAGGAAATATGAACTTTCAGTGGGTTAGTTGTCTGACCTTTTTTATTTCAGGTCAGCTAAAAAGGTACCTTTGGCTCTATTGACTCTCTGATGACAAAGGTATCCTCAGGTGCCAGGATCTAATGCACAGCTTTCACCACAGCACAAAGCATAAACTTTCATGGGCACTGAAGTGTGAACACTGGGAAATATCCTGACAGTCTTACAAGTCAGTGCTACTCTCCAGCAGTATAATGAAAATAAATCTATTTAACTCCTCTCAAGAGCCCTCAGAAAAGGGTTAGAACACAGTGGCTATACTTCCCAGAGAGATCATAGGCCAGGAAACAGAATTACTTGTCCCTGAAGGAGGAAAAGAAGGAACATATTCGTGTCCTCCCTCAGTCCTACAAGATCTTACAAGTCTTTGACAGTGTGTCCCACTGTAAGATTTTTTTTGTATCAAGTGGCAAGATTTGAGGAATATGGCCAGCATAAATACAGCAAAACCAACTATCTCAAGACTCACTTTATCTGTTTTACTCTTACATGGTCTACAGGAGTATGGCAGGGACTTTTTGGAAAAGAAACAACATACGAACCAGGAAAAAAAAATCTACATCCCAGTAACAATGATTACTTCTAAATACCACATGTATTTTTTCCACATACAGAGTTAACTTTAAAGTTAATGGAAATGCACTTTGTAAAGCCTCCAATCAAGAGCCATCATACTTTATGAATTGTCTGTACTTTGCCACACTGTTTTGCTTGGCCAACAGATGGAGACCTTACCGGATTATTTCCTCTCATCATATACCAGGTCCAAGTCATGGGAGTAGAGTCACTTTTACAAACCATTACAGCTGTATCTTTTTCATAAGTGATTATAGGTTTTTCTCTTGCTTCAATTTTCGGTACTAAGAACAAGAAGAAAAAGTTCACCAAGTGAGAGATACAGGTTTGAATTAGTGTTACAAAAAGAATATATTCAGGTATGTATTTATAGTAGTCTAGTCACTTCTCTTTCACTTAAACACAGATGATTCTATCATTCATGACATGATGTAAATGAGGAGTCATTGCATGCTGATATTGCATATACAGAATTTGTAAAGAAGACTATCAGAACCCTTTTCTCAGTTACTGTGCAATCTTAAAAGTTGTCAATTAATGCCAAACACTAAGTGATAATCAGACTGTGATTTCTACCCTTGCCCATTTCCTCTTTCCCTTCCTTGATATCTGTAAGCTATATGCTTCAGTTTTAGTGCACTAGAAACAAACACAGAATTTTCCTGTAGTTTCACTCAAATCTGCAGAAACTGATAGAAGTCTATTCCAGCCACAGTGCGACTACATAATGGTATCTGGCAAGCTGTGCATGCAGAGAACTTTTCCAAAATTAAGACAAAAACTGCAAATTGTAGATCTGTAGTTACAAATATTTACTGAGCTGAAGCAATGACTTTTGGATGCACAACAATAAATAGGATTTTTGGTCTTATCTTGCTGAGGACAGAATACAGCCAACAAGAAACAAGACATCAGTTTAACTTCAGAGCGACTTGCCCAAGCCACTTTAACTGCAGGTATCCCACAAGCTTTCAAAAGCCCAGAAAGGTTGTTGAATGTATTGAGGCTATCAAACAGATACTGTTAGAGCTTAGCAATTACATCATGCTAGAGTATGTATTTCCCCTTCCCCCTCCTTTCCCTCCCTATTAGGATGTTCACCAACATGTTTTCCTCAGATCCAATTATTTTAAATTTTTCTTAAAGTTTCACTGCTCTACTTTGTACATGCAGATCCAGTACATACTTAAAATTATACTGATTACACTAAACAGGCCAAGTACTTGCTTGCAGCAATTATGACGAACTTGATACAAACTAAGATTGTTCTTGTTCCCCCCCTTCTTGACTAGCCAAGTACAAACTATTTTTCCCAAAAAAGTTGACTTCTCATGTGTATTCAAACTTCAGAGCTTCCAATCCAGAAACATAAAACCAATTTGTTGATAAGAACAATTGCTTTCAGCCTCATTTGCTGCACCATACATCAATCCAGCCTCATTACTAATGAAGTCTTCTCACTCCATGTGCATGTATTATCATTCAACACTACCCTTAGGAGTACTGGTGGAATATGTTCACTGCTGTGAGTAAAAGGGATGACCCTCACTAATAACTGCTGCCACCTCTGAAATTTAGAGAAGACAAAAGGAGGTTGGGGTAAACAAAAAAAGGAACAAGAGGAAACAAACAAAAAACACATATACTACCCAGCACAACAAGCTTATGTGATAGTCAAAAAGATTCAGCCATGCTGATCAGTGGCAAAGCACAGCTATAGGTATTACTGGTAATACATGTGAACACATTAGCCATGATTAAGGATATGAACATCCACCATGAGTTCTGGGATCTGGCTCTGTAACAGCTGTTAATTTCTGAATGTGTAGAAAGAAATAATCTACTCTGTTCCAGGCATTTTTCCAAGCAGATCATACCAGATTTGGTGACAAAACACTTCTGCTGCACTGACAAAAATCAACTGTTGAAGAGACAGACAGCTGTTAGTTAGCACCAGCATTTACACCGGTGAGATTTCCATACTGTTTTAAAGACCAGAGTTATTTCATAGTGCATGTTCCTCAACAGCTGCTAAAGGATCCCCAAACAAAGGGCAAACACAAATTAATCCATTCTACCCTTTTATAAACTTGCAACACTTCTCAACACTAAAATACCCACGAATGTTCTCTGTGTTTAATAATTTGAACTTCCTTTAAATATCTCATTGTCTGCAGACATGAGTAAAAACCTAACTCCACAAAACCTGCAGGGTTACACCAGGCCAGGAAGCAGAGGGAAAAGAGAGGAGAGGTAACACATCCAATCATGCCAAACTGCCTAGTGGAAGAGCTATAGCAGTTACAGCAGTGATGACTTTAGCCACTGAGCTTATACCAACACATTACTCATCTTTCAGTTTCAGAACTGTTCTTCCTGCATTATTGACTGGAAGATTGAAGGACTTCTCTTTCCCATTTCCTTCACTCTTGCACAATCATAGAAAGTGTCAAGCCAGTACTTTTTATGGCATCAGAAGTGGTGGTATTCAACCATTGTGAAGCAATTCTCCCATCTTCTTACAATAAATCAACCAGTCTCATGCACTGTTCTGGAAAAGACGACTTCCCTTTTGAGCCATTGCTGCCCTTACTGAACTAGATATTGTATGCTTTCAAAAAAAAAAAAAAAAAGGTCTCCTTGGACTTTTTTCAATCGAAACAGACATTGTTAGCTACTCAACTAAACCTTACCCACATACTGACAGGAAAAATACATAATCATTTTCAGACATTAAAAGGCTTGAATAAACTACAATTTTGTCTTCATTCAGTATTGCAAGCTAGTCTCCACTGGCGGAAGGTCTGAAAGTAGGTGTCAACACTAAAGATTTGAACACACATGAGGTTTGCTCAAGTCATATTACCAGATATCCCACTGAACAAAGGCAGCTTGCAGCACTAAGAATCAGTAAGCCCTGCTAGTTATTTCATCTGAGGTTGGGATATTGATTGATGAGTCAGGGTTTCTTAGAGCCTGTGCTCAGGGAAAAATCTCTCAGGTACGAGCCTGTATATCCCTCACAGATTACATGTTTCCCTTGCTCTTTGCAAAATTTGGGTGGTGGGAACAGAGAAGGGAATAACTCTCTTGTGAGAGTTATTCACCATAACAGCAGCGTGTACTAGTTTCATTTCCACATATCTTCCATTCACCTACTACTGTCAGGGATAACATTATTGGAGAAGAGAACACAGAACAGAAGAAAGGGCACGCATACTGCCCAATGAAGCACCTAATTGTTCGTGTGAGTGCTATTCTTAGAGAGAATAAAACATGCACTAAAACAGTGTGTAAATTTAGTGTTTAAGAAATACAAATGAAATTTTAAAAAAATCTGCCTCTATTCTACCAATCTTTGCTTCACATTTAACACCAAATCTCAGACCAAACTTTCAAGTTACTGGCTCTGCTTTTGGAAGAATTTTTCTGAGACACCATCCTTTATTCCCATCCCCCAGAAAGTGAAGAGTATTCGCTCAGGCTCTACGGATGGAGAGGGAAAGGGGGATCAGTTACTCATTAAGGGAAAAAAGAAAACAGACCTGTATGTTCTTTTGGTTGTTAGAAAATTTTTTTTAAAAAGGTTTTTAGCTTTTGTCTTCCTTCCATGCTACAGAAGTGACTTTGAAAGTAATTCTCACTTAGCTTGACCTTATTAGTCATTACTTATCAAATTAAGTTCCAATTTCCATACTATCTAGAAGCCATATTCATACAAGTTTGTAGTGGTCAAGTGAAACAAAAATTTAAAAATCAATAAAAATTAATTAAATATAATTACCATGTAAATAAAACGTAGCTCTGATTTCTTCGTCGCCTTTCACAATACAGCTGTAACTTCCCATCTTACTGCTATCCACTATCACCAATCTTAAAAAAGAAAAAAAAAAATCACCCATTTGCTTTTTGCATGTATTTTCTTTTGTCTTACAACTATGAGTGACTGTTAATTAACACCCTAAAGAAAACAGTAAGGATTAGTAGCAGAGAAGATACATCACTGAAACACTAGGATTCAGGTTTAGTGCAGTGCAGAAACAGCATGACATTTTTAAGAAAACAGAAGACCACAAGAACATAAATATTATTTTCACTCTTCGTGGTCATAGAAGGCCAAAACATCTTTAAGCAGTATGATCTATATGTTACCAAATCAGAAACAAGTTCACCATGTCAACTATCTAGCATATCCTATGTAGGACTTTAGGAAGAACAAACCATGGAAGTAATCTACTCTGAAACCAGTCAGTTCAACACAAAAAAGGAGTTCTGAAGAGCTTCCAGCATCTTCTCCACTGGCAAACTATAGGTTTCACTGACACTTGAAAAAGACCTGCATGGTTGTGCTTGTGTATATATATATATATATCAGAAAAGTGACAATCACATTGTCATATTTTCTATCACAGAAATTTTATAAAAGTATTACTGCTGTTAAGAAACCTAAGCTATACAGAAATGAACCGGAGACCACCTGGTTAAAAATGTGTAAACGACCTAATTTTAAAGAACAACAGCAAATTGTATTAATTGTAGAAAGGTTTCTATAACATTTGAGTTTCTGTAGAGGTTTGAAAGAGTTAAGAAAACCTTCAAAACATCTTTAGTGTAAAGCTGATTTCTTCTCTGTTTTGCTAATTATGAAGGAAAAGAAACTAGCCATTGATGCTTTCCAGACTTCTGCAAAGCAGCAAGGAGGTGGAAAAGACAAATGTCAAAGGAGAAACTGCTAAAATGCCTCAATCTCAGACTGATATTACTACTTTACTTACTGAACAGAACTACTCAACCTCAAAGAACTGTGTCCTTATTTATGTTCTTTTCTTGCATTATGTTCTTTTTCTTGTTTTTTTCCCAGCACTAGAGGAAGAACTACCTGCACCCTTTCTCCTTTCCTGTAGCTTCAATATGATGATTAATCTTTGCATTTGGCTCTTTTCCAATATATACATGACTAGTATTGGGCAGTGTATATACATGTGATAACTCTTTAGAGCCTGCAAGTCACACTGTCAAGAATGCTACTTACTTGATGCTCCAGCTGTTCTCAGCTTTAGTGGTGTGGCTGATTGTTTCATTCCCCCTTTTCCAAGTCACTTGAGGATTTCTTAAATGAAAATTTGGATCTAATTTGCATGAAAGTTCAACTGTAGTTGCATTGGCCAAACTGATATTTCTTTCCAGCAAAGTACCAGGAGGACCTAGAAGAAGTTTAAAAAATTTTTACTGAAAAAAAAAAGATTTCTTCATGCTTGGGGAAGAAGAGATCGGAAGATTGTGTTTGCATATGCAGGATTACAGTTGAATACAGAGCACTACTCACACTTTACAAGGTAAAAAAAAAAAAACCCGCAATGTATCTCAGTAATGTTCTCAAGCCCTGTTATGATACACAACCATTACAAAAATAACACACTCCATTTTGTAGGTAAACTTCCTAGTTTACCTACGAAGGGGTCTATTATAGAAACATAGATACTCATTTCACTGAAAGCAAGGTAGATTCATGCATTTACATTATTTAATCCAAACAAAAAATATTAAGTACATAGTAAGTATACAGAAAGTGATATTAATGTAAAGAAGAGTAAGCTATAAATACCTAGAACCCTCTGGATTTTAGACAGTTGCAGATTTTTATGCTATTGAGATCACAGCCATATCCTAATTCTAGGGAAGTTGTTGATAAAGTCCACATTCCTAACATTGTTGGATCACAGTTGGATCCAGTCTTTCACACTACATATACTCCAGCTGAAATCAAATCATCTTCAAACCAATCTATGGCTGCCTTTGCCTTCCTGACAAGTCAGTAGAATTACAATGTGAAAATATTCCAAAACAGTAGAAAAGCATGATAGGTTTTTGCTTTTAACAAGGTTCACACATATCCAAAAAGTAGGCTTTACACAGCAAGTATCTTCTGACCCATACAAACGGCCTTTTATAAGAAAACATGTTAAACATTGTACCTGTTAGCAATGACATTTTATTCCATAATTGGGCTTTTCTTTCATGTCTTCTAGATACAACTGTGGTTAGTCCATCTGAATTCTTCATGAAAATTTATTCCAAGCATCACCCCAATCCTAGACAAGCCCTGCAGTACTTGATAGTCAAAAGAGTGCAGCTGTATTTCACAGCTTGCATTCTTTCGAAGAGAAAAGGAAGCTTTAAAATACAGCTCACTGTCTTAGTAACGCCAAGTCATACCTAGTCAACAGCAAGGCCTGGTTGAAGTAGAAGCACCAGATACCTCCCAGTACAGAATATAAGTGAACTTGATTGGGTCTGGCAGAGAAATTTACAACCTGAAGAACAGCATGTCCAGAACTTCCAAGTCCCAGTCAAAATATTTCAGATCTGCTGAACTGGAAATAAACTTAGAAATGCAACACCTCAGCCTTTCATAGCAGAGCAAAGTCAGTTATTGAAACATTTATTAGAGTGATTACACAATAAATGAGTCAAGCGTAACTCTGCTTGTTGAGGTTGTTTATGATCAAATTTTACAAATGGAACTGGTTTCCCAGCAGAAAAAGTCTTACAGTCAGATTACACAGGTTAAAATAGAATCTGTACCTTTTGAGATTATTTTAAAGTTAAAGCCACCCTTTAAATGAACAGAACAAGGAAACGCTATGATATTGAAGATTAACCACTAGCAAGACTGACATCTGGGGCAACCCTGTACCAGGAGTGCACGTACCACAACAGGAAACAGACACTACCTTAAGTTTCCTGCCAGAAGAAAATACAGCATAAATGCTGCACAATTATATCCTTAAAATATCATGCCAGTACTTTGCAAACCTTTGAGAGATTTCAGTTTTTCCAGCTGCCCAAGAAATTAATTGGAAAATATTATTTGGCAACTGGAAACTTCACATCTTCTTTAGGAATGGGTTTAATCTTACCTTTTCCCCATGCTTTAACTCCTGCAACGCTGCTAAGCTAACACCTGTACCCTAGTTTACATGGTCTCTCCAAGTGGATTCACTAGTGCAAAAGAATTGTTACTTCAATTGATTTGGAGGAAGAGATAGGTATGAATTGTTTTTACTTGCAGTTTTAATAATGAATGTAATTCTCTACTGCAAAATAGCTGTCAGAACACAACTGTCAATGGTAGCATAAACTTATTTTTATTCTTTTACTGAGCTCATCACATGCTCACTCTGAGCATCTTCACTCCTTCTACAACTCATATGAAAGATTATCTGAAAGCAGAGGCATTGGATATAAAATAACGGAAGACAAAAAATAACACACTCACCAGGTAGGAGTATCTCAAATTGCAGAAAAGCGCCATTAGACTGGTGCTGCTTGCTTGGCTGCTTGAGATTTTGTGTGGTAAGATCTGGACCTAACAAGGTTTGGGGCAAAGCAAAGTAATATATTATTCTATGTAAGTAATCACACACCAGCATGTCAATAAGGTAGTGCAACCATTACTTATAGCAATCTTTGGGGGGGGGAAATAATAACCTTGCCAAATGCTGACTACTACAGAGATCCTATTATATACCTTGTGTGTTAACAGTCAGAATCTTAAAGCAGCAGTGTTGTGGGATTGCTGTTATAGCAATTATGCTATGCTAGAAGATGGTTTCCAGCTTTTATTTAATGCTCTAATTGTGAATGTCAATACTCTAAAAACGTCATCACTGTTCCACAGCCTGATTCAAGAAGTCACTTATATATTACAGATGGATCCTAGAACCATACAGGACTACATCCATGTTTAAATAGTTCCTGAAAAAGCAGTAAGCTTTAGAAAAATAAAGAAACAGAGGGACAGAACACTGCCATTCCCAAAGCCACTACAATTTTATCATACAGCCAGAAAGTCTAGGCAAGAACACCACTAGAATATGTGATCCACTAGAACATAGAGATCCTCACTGCTCCACAAAACTTCTATTGTCCTATCCAGGAAATGCACTTCCACACAAGAATATCAATATCAATCATCATGTGCCAGATTAAAAACTACTCCTTTTGTGAGGAAAACCTACATTTAAAAGGTTTACTATGTTCTGCAAAATCCCTTTTCAGAAGGGCTATGGATCACATACTCTGCAGAGAGTATGCGATCCTTTATAAAGCCCTACAAAGCTTAGCTTGATACAGCAACTGTAAGCACAGTCTGTTCCCATCACTTGTTCACACGCTCAGTGCATTTCAAGAACAGAAAAAGGCAAATTAATAAACTACAGCTCTAAGAGTTGTAGACCAACTACAATAATCTTCTTTTAATTTAGTGATGACACAAAGGAAACAGATCCCCACACCTACCCCTACTAGACACACTAAATGTTTTAAGCCACATCTTACATGCTGGAAAATAATTTCTCAGTTATTTCATAATGCATTGCAGAAATACACGAATAGTACTTACTGCCTAATCATACAGCATTGTAAGAAAAAATTATTCTAGATTTTGTAGAAGGAAAGGGGCTTCATAATCTCTCCTGTCCATGGATAGAAAAGATGTCTACTCATAACTGAGAAAATAAGAGGAATTGGACTGCAGCTTAGTCTTCTTGCTGAGAGAAGCACTGGGTGGCAGAGTTGATCACTGTGCAGTAGAAATAGTACCTCTGAAAGCCTAGATCTCGGTGTAATTACTCCTCCTTTCCTGAATAAAATAATGAACTTTCATGTAAAGTTCTTAAACATGTGCCTCTCAGCTCAACACTGAAGGCAGTTCCCACTAGTAGTTTGCATCTAAAGGCATAAACAGAGGTACCACATGCCTTTCAAGTTGTTGGCCAATTTCAGAAGGCATCATGTCAGCTCATAGCACAAGGAATGCTCTACAATAGGCAATCAACCTTTTGCCTGGCTTGTTCCACCTGTGCTTTCATACCTTCCATCAAGGTTCAACCAGTTTAAGCAAAAATAAAGCTATAAAATACTAAGGTGGTTGGTATGGACGAACAGGGCATGTTGTTGAGAGCAGACTGTTGTGAACCTCAACTGGCAGGCCAAAATGACTTTTTAAGCAAAGGAAAGCTGTCCCTAGCACTAGTCACTAAGTCCTGTTGCTCTAGACAAGAACACAAGCAAACCTTGGTCTCTGCCCAATGGAGAAACAAACTAGTCCAGTGTTTACCCACGAATTAACATGTAAAGGTTAAAAGAGTTCTGGCAAATCTTAGCCTGTCTGTGTGCACAAACACTCTGACAATATGCCAAGGCTGTCATGGATTACCTGAGTTTCTGTCAGTCTGCTACATGCATCACCTGGTTTGTTATTAAAATCCCTCATGATGACATATTCAGTTCATATGGTAGCTGTTACCCATCCACAGAAAACCAGACAACCTTTAAAATGTCTTACACTCCAATAGGATTTTCATACTGACCTTTTATCCTCAATTCACATATCAAATGAAAATAGCCAGGTGAGGTCATATTATATGAAATACTTCTGTATCTTAGCTCCTATGTCTATTTGCGTTTATGTATGTGGAAAGTTACTGAATCTATTAGCTATTGCACTCGTAGATCTCACAAAGCTAAAAAGCTCTGAAGATGAACAGCAGATAAATAGCATTATCTCCAACAAAAAAAACCTGTGGAGGGAGCAACTTGTCATAACTTGATTGAGTTCATGTACAAATATCACTTGCCATTTTTGATTTGCACTAATCAACATGAGCTATGGTACACTGCTGAAATCCTCCTTCTTTGATCTTTACGGAGAAATAAGAGGCAGAATCAACAATCATTTGTTTCTTCTCCTGCCTGGAACTTATTCTCTGCTCCCTGTCAAAACCACAGTTAAGGCCCAGCAAATAAAAGTAGAAGGGACAATAGATGTTTTTGACACAGCTGTAATTAATAAAACAGATGGATGAAGGCAGCAGGCACAGTGATGCAAGGGCATTATAGCACCTTTCACTAATACAAGAGCATAAGGAGCCCTCACGAAAAATTATCAGGTCTAAGTAGTAGAACACTCCTGCAATGGTACTACTTCAGGCATTGTCCAACCTCCAGGGTCACTGCCTGCTTTAATGGCATATATGCATAAGGGCAACAGGTCACACAACTAGCAGCTGGATAGCTTTTTCCAGTACTACAGATGCTTATAACACTTAATCTCTTAAAGCAATGGCTTTAAAAGGCCTAGATGGTATATCTACTCTTGTTTCTTCTGAGAAGTGACAATTTTTTATTTTAAAAGACTTGAGTATGAAACATGCTACATAATAAATAAGTATCACTAGGAAAAAGTACTATAGGTGTACTGAAATAAAACAATTACCAGATGATTCATTAAGTCCAAGTTGCATCTTAGTCAAGGAGTTCGCCTGAGACTGACTGGCATCTTGTGTTGTCATAACTGGATCTAAAAAGAAGTTTAAAGAAATTTAATTCGAGTTAGAAGCTAGTTCATGAGAAGGATTCAAGCAGAAGCTCCTCACCTCAGCATTCCTTCTCCATTTCTTCCCAAGTTCTGAGCATATACATAGAAAAATGCACAAGGACTGTTTTTCAGTAGTTCTTTAGCTCACTTTAGCAAGAAAATATTGAAGAACAGAGGCAGTATCAATTTGATCTCTAATTTCTGTATACAGCTCTTTTCCTGTAGTTAGTCTACAGTCAAGCAAAGCCATTCTTCAGAATATTACAGTAGACTTTATAAACTGTACTCCTGAATTTTTCCTGGGCTTAGACAACCACTGACTCTAGCTGACTACTTTTAACACGGATTAGCAGAATTGCTAATAGAATAAGGACTCCATTACAACCTTAAAAGTCTAGCATGATCCAATGAACAAACCTTATTTCCTCCTATTAGCACCTTGGTAAGCAAAACAAAAGACACCTGTGTCAAACACAAACTTCAACATATAATACTAATGATGATTTCCATTTTCCTTAACACCACTACAAATCTGATCCTCCATCTATAACAGGTTTCTTTCCAACAGCCAGGTAAGACTCTATGATTTTGCTTTACGTTCTTGACTGGAGAAAGAACAGCAGGGGAAGAAGATGACTTCCTTACTTTAAGTCTTTGTGTCACACTTCTACTAAGAATTCAAGGTATGTAGATGTTTTAGAAGAATGGAAATGTTTGGTCCTTCCTTTCTGTTTCCACATTTGGGTGGCAGCGCTAGTTAGCACAAAATGAACACTGTCTTCACATGCTAAGGTATTGCACAACATATTCTACCACCACAGCACCCAGAGTAAGGGATTCTGCTTGTAGGCACAAAGGGCAAAAAGAGCACGTTTTAGAGTTGCAGTTAAAGTCTTGGGGGCATGGGGGTGATAAGTTCTTTTAGGTATCCAAGACAGCAACAAACACACAGATGAAAAGTGAAAACCTACATCATACTCTTTAAGTTCGAATCATTCAAACTTTTGAGAACTGCATGCTTTCAGCAAAGGTGAAGTCAGCACTCTGCCATTTCCTACAAATGAATGACAATACTAATGCTCCTACCCCATTTCAGCACTACAGGCACAGACAACCCACAGACGCTCCCACTGGCACTTTCAGCACACAGTTACTCAAGACTACATCAGTCATGCCTGGCTTGCACCATCTGCTCTCTCAGTCTGCACATCATACTTCAACCAGTTTGGATCAAGAGTAAAACAAAGTAATCAAAGGACATGATCTAAAAAATTAAGCGTTACAGGTTTTCAACATCAGTTTGTTTAATTTGCATAATTTTTCATAGCAGTCCACTGGTCTCACAGTTCACTCTTCCCTACCAGTCCCTCCCCTAAGAAAATAATTTAAGAAATCTGCTCTGAACATCTGCTGGCTTATGACCCAGCCAGTAAGTCTTACTCTCTGCTTTACAGAGGTGCTGAGAGCAGGAAGACCTATTATTTTTCTGATATTCATAGTTAAGTTTGAAGAAAGCTCCACAGATTTTTATACCTGAAGTATCTTGAGGCATTCTAAGTATGTCGTGGATCACCTGCACAGTAATTAAAATCCCCAAAGATTATAAATTTAGAAGGTGCAAATGCCAAGATGTACACCAGCTCTATTATGTCTCTGCAATGAAGGCAGATCATCTGCAACATGGTCTGCATATTAACATTATTCTCATCTTGGCTTTCCTCCTTGATTCATGTATTAAGTGCAAGCAGTCAAGTAGTGCTATTTCTTGTCACCACTGCTCTCACGTCTTCAGTCTTATCTGTCCATATGTCAAACTACACAGAACAGAGGTAACACTGCACCGTTCTTCTCCTCTCATATACACCTGCTGAATAGCATCAGAGATCAAGGTTAGGCACCACTGCAAGATTAGTGTCATCCAGCCAGGCAATGATGTAAGCAAGTCAAGTAACTTCTCAAACTATTGAGTCATATCTGTATGCCTTAGCTTTTAACTGACTTGCATTAAGTTTAATGGATAGTGTGGTAGCTTATAGAGCTCTTGTTCCAAGAGTATGATGTCATTATTTTTCCACCTTATGTCTGCTCCATACTGCAGCCAATATTCCGGGGATAAACTGTGGATGTACCATGCTCATCATCATCATCAGAGCAATGTCAGACTTAAAAATCTACTTGCTCTCTTTCAGCCAGAAAGGTGCTGAACAAGGAAAGGCTGAAATACGATTTAGTTTAATTTAACATCATTAAGGTTTATTATCAATCATATACTCTGTGTAAGTACACAAGCATTCAGTAGCACCCCAAACCACTCACCAGAACCTCCTAATAACCCTGAGACACCAGAGAACCAACATGAAGGACTTCCAAATGCCCTGATAAACACCCTTCCCTCAGGGCAAACCAGAAAAATTCAACCTGTAAACAAAGTCTGTAAGAAGTGAGGTGTGCTCTCATTGTCCTTGGTTTCTTCAGGAGCAGAAGAAGAGAGATGAGATTTGGTGGGATTCCTTTTCCTAAATCAGTCAACTACAGTCAACTACATAAGGTTACAATGGTAACCAAACAAAGAAGTAACTTCTGAACAACTGTGCTGTGCTGTGTTAAAAATTACCCGTAGCTCAACACAGAATAAAAGCAATGGCTTAAATTTTTCCAAAACAATTATCTAAGTTAAACAACTATACATCTATAAAAACATTTAATGCAAGTCTAAAAAAACCAGCCTTACTCTCTATGGATAAAAGGAACTAAACCTGCTACCTTAGTTCTCATAAAACCAGACCTGATATCCATCACCTTGGGAAGATGGTAGATTTGTGGAAATTTTGGAAACAAAAATAGGGCTTTGTTGTTTAATTTGTTTGGCTTCTTTTTTCATAAGAGCACATCATTTCACCAATAGCTTCATATATAAACTTGGAATTGCTTCAGCTACTATCAGGTTATAGTTTTTTGGCAGCAACAGACATCAGAAAAAACCACCTCATGGCAAGTTAGCCACATGGTGATTTACATGTTCCTATAAATACCAGGCAATTTACAGTCACAAAACTTCTCAATGAAGTAAGCTATCAGAAAGACCTTCAAGTTTTGCACGTGTACAGAAACACACGTACATATTTCACAGACTGTTTAAGACCTACAAAGCAGATTTTCCCCTGCACATGTAAATACGTACTTTAAACAAGCCTTAAGAACCGCAAAGTATGTTTCCTTTCACATTATGTGAAACCACTACAAAGTTTATGAAAGCTACCATCACACGGGAAACAGTACTGCTCCTCTCAGTATTAAGGAGGCAGGCACAAACATATAACTATTTATATATCACACACTGAAGATGTAGCTGAACTACTGATGGTTAATTCAAGTCACAGCCATGGTGTTCACACACACGTCACGACAGAACTCCCGGCCTCGGCAAGACCTGTTCTAGAAAGCTCATCTTGCACAGCAAACATCAGCTATTTGGTAGTTCCTCCTGATATCATTCCATTCTACTCTGCAGTGGCTCCCAAAGCAGGGATTAACAGCAGAAATCCACTGATTTAAGAAATAAACTCGTATTTCCTGAGAATTGCCTGGCCCCATGCTAAACTGCTGAAAACCACTACAAGAAGAACAGGGTCCGGAAGGCTCAAGCCCCTCATCCTTCATGGATTTTAAATGACACTTTTAAAACCTCAGTGTTAAATCCCAAGAAGCATTCCTCCCAACCTGCTAGGCATACTGATATTTTAGCACTGTAATCTACCAATTCGTGTTTGTTTTTTTTTTTTCCTCAAGATTTAAATGTTTTTCTCAGTAAGGATAGGGCAGCTATAAAACACTATGCCTCAGCCTCCCAGTCCTGCACCTGTGAGCTAGTAAACCCTCCCGTTTCTGACAAGAGACAGTAGTGAGGCTACAGGACCGCACAAAGCAGATGGGCCGCCGCCAGCCACCCCCAATGCCGGGGGACAGCGGGGAGGGGATTGATTCCCCGCTGCCCTAAAACAGCCCCGAGCGCTGAGGGAGGCAGGGGCGCCGG